GGAGCTACAATCCAACGGAGTCGCTCCTCGGCGCGTCGCCTCCACTGGCTTCCCCGTCGAGTCGAGTGATTGGAGATGGAGAGTTCTCGGAGGAGTCGTCTGTTGGTTGGTTTCGGAGGAGTAATTCGGCGAAATTCGCTTCGAGTTTTAGCGGCGGGTTTGACTTGACGTCGGTTAAGTCATCAGAGACTATGGGATTTCATCAAGTTAAAAAACCTGTTGTTGCTCAACCCAAAGGTAAATTGCAACTACCTTTGCCACCTGTCGTTATTATTATTATTATTATTATTATTATTATAGTTTGGATTTTTAATAAAAAAATATTGTTGCAGAGGAGAAAAGTGGAGCTTCTGCCGTTGTGGAACCTCAGGTAAATAAAGGGCTTTCTTCTTCTTCGGGTGCAAAACCATCAAAAGAGAAAACAACAAAAGCTGAACGGCGTGCCTTGCAGGAAGCTCAACGTGCTGCAAAAGCTGCTGCTAAAGGTTTTTGTTTTTTAAATATATATTTGTTTTAATCACAAAAAGAGTTGAAAGTTTTGAGTATTACAGAAACTAAAAAAATTGCGTTCATTTTAACATGCTTAATGAAGAGTAGGATTTATGCCGTCAATTTTGTGTCTCACTGTTCATAATTCGTCTTTTTTGTATAGCTATGACTGTGTCTGAGGGAGTATCTACTAGTAAACCTGTGAAGCAGCAGCCAGCACAGAAGAAAGATGCTCCACCACCTGCATCTTCAATTGCAGCTTCTGATAGGAAAGGAGGTGAACGTTCTATGGAAAAAGAGAGGAGGAAAGATATCCCTGCACCACGAATGCAATTTGATGACAGAAGTCGTGTGGAAAAGGCTAAAAAGCGTGCAGTGGTCAATCAAAGTGAAGCTAGGAATAGGGTTGAGTTGTTTCGACACTTACCGCAGTATGAACATGGAACTCAGCTTCCTGATCTTGAGTCGAAATTTTTCCAACTTGATCCTATGCATCCAGCTGTTTACAAGGTGCTACTTTGTTTGGATAATGACCTTATACATTTATGCAGGAATTTGTTCAAACCATTGCGCACATAAATCATTATCCATGTTAATCATTTTTTATCCAGATTTCTCAAATAAATTGTTAATGAAAATCATGAATGCACTTGCAACATGTTGAACATGCTCCTTTAGACTGATATGTGTTCGTATGCCCTTGCAACTTTGGTACACAAATTTAATTTCCTCTTGTAAACTGAACTTATGGTAAACAGCTGTGAAAATGAAATTACATTGGTGATATCATTTAAATTTTTGGAAAACTAAATTATCATAAGGGATGGATGGATTGTCTACATTTTACTGTTCAAGGGAAGACCCCAAACATGCAAAAGCAGATACACACACACACACACACACACATGCAAATGCAAAGACTTATACTTTGGTTGCACACTGATATATGGCATTGGTGTACCTGCTTGTTTATTGATGTAGCTATGAGCTTTTGTCAGGTTGGCCTACAGTATCTGGCTGGAGATATCTCTGGAGGTAATGCTCGATGTATTGCAATGCTTCAGGCATTTCAGGAAGTCATTAAAGACTATTCCACACCACCTGAGAAATCTCTTACTAGAGACTTAACTGCAAAAATCAGTAGTTTTGTTTCCTTTTTTATAGAATGCCGACCATTTTCTATGAGCATGGGAAACGCAATTAGGTTTCTCAAGAGTCGGATTGCGAAGTTGCCTTTAACTGTTTCTGAATCAGAAGCAAAAGCCTCCCTTTGTGCAGATATTGATCGTTTCATAAATGAGAAGATAGTACTTGCTGACAATGTGATAATTAGGCATGCTGTTACCAAGATCACGGATGGGGATGTTCTTCTCACATATGGATCATCATGTGTTGTTGAGATGATTCTGTTGTATGCCCATGAGCTTGGGAAACGGTTCCATGTTGTTATAGTGGACTCTCATCCAAAACTTGAAGGCCAAGGCCTACTCCGTAGACTGGTGGGAAAGGGACTGAGGTGTACATATACTCACATAAATGCTGTTTCTTATATCATGCATGACGTTACTCGAGTTTTCTTGGGCTCTTCCTCAGTATTATCTAATGGAACTGTGTATTCGCGGGTTGGGACTGCATGTGTTGCTATGGTTGCTCATGCATTCCATGTTCCAGTCTTAATATGCTGTGAAGCCTATAAATTTCATGAAAGAGTACTGCTTGATTCAATCTGTTCAAATGAATTAGGTTTGTTTGTTTCCTTGCAAGATCAGTTCATATTGCTTTATCTCTTGATTACATGTATGTTCTTTGATAAGAGAGGAAAATAAAGGAGCATTTTTCATGTTGCCTGCAGGTGATCCAGATGCTATTTCAAAGGTTCCTGGAAGAATGGATATTAATTTCCTGGATGATCTGACCAATAAGGACAATCTGCAGCTTCTAAATTTGATGTAAGCTTCCAGATGCCTTACAACCTAAGAAAAGCTGAAAAAACATTTTCTAAAGACTATCTTGATCTTGTACTGTGACAGGTATGATGCCACTCCTTCAGAATATGTCTCAATGATCATCACTGATTATGGGATGGTAAGTCATGGTGTCACAAAATACTTGATTGTTTTGCAGGATTCCCTGTGTTGCAGTTTTGTTTAATGAATCTTTACAAATGATTAGTTATGCTAAATGGATGTCCTTGAAATGTTTGGTGTTAGTGAATTTCCAACTCTGCAGTTTGCTCACCTTGGCTTGCATTTTGCAGAGTTGCATGCATTCTTCCTCCTGTCTTGATGTAGCATGTTGTTACACATACTAACATAACTTGCAAATAATACACTCAAACTCCTTGTATATCAGCTCCATGTCACTAATGGAATACGCTTAACTACATAGTTGTAGTAAAACAATACACAAAATATTAAGACTTAACTACTACAGTGTAGTACTAGTAGTTAAATGCAGTGCGCATTTAGGATTGTGGTAGAGGTAGCTTTTTAAAGTGTTTTTCACTTAGAAATGCATCAAAATAATGTTTTTTTATTTTTTAAAACTCATTTTTGACATCAGCACATCAAAACAATCCAAAAGCACACAAAAAAGAAAACTAATTTAAAGCTAAAAAAAAATCAAAGTTTTTCAAAAGCGAGGACTAGCCGCAATCCTAGACACCAAACCCCTGTAGTCAAGTACTAACTACTACAGTGCAATGCAAATATAATTATTGGATTTGGAACTTGATAATTTTGCTATAGGTAACTCACTAATTACCATATCCAGCATGTGAACTAGTCAAAAAACATGGAGAAGGAATTAATTTCTGGAGATGCAAGATGTACATGTTTAAACTTTATTGTTCTGTGTCATTCAACCATTGCTTCTTATTTTCCACGAGCAAAATGATGTTCAAGTTTAATGTAGCTGGTTGAATAATTTAATCTATTTTGTCTCTGTTCTCTGGTATTTCTGCACCTACCTGGCCTTTTCTTTCTTTTTTTTAAAAATACTATTGTAGTGCATGCTGCTCTGTTGTGATGGATGCTGCCTTTTGTATTAACCCACTGTTTACGGTGCTTGAGATTCCTTCCTGATGGTTGTGTGTATTCATATTGCTATCTGCAGATCCCACCCACAAGTGTGCCTGTCATTGTGCGCGAATATGGGAGGGAGCACCTGTGGATACAGTAATACAGGAAAAGCTCTGCTTTTTTGAAGGATCCTTTACAGTGGATCCCTTGCGTGGAATAACAGGACTATGAATTTTATTATACCTGGTTGGGAGCCTCTTCTAATCATATTCGTCACATCAAAATGATGATTCTATACGTTGCCAAACATTAGTTTTGTTTAAATTTGTTATTAGCAAATCAGAAAAGAGAACAGTGCAACTTTTGCCCCACCTGAGCTCTGGACCCGGGGGTGGTTTGCTTTCCATATTGGTGAAAGAGCTTGAGAGTAATGTGCATAGTCTTAGAAATTACGGCCCAATGAAACAGACCTTTTAAGCTTAAAAGCAAGCCTAGTGCTTTCCTATAAATATAGTCAGAGGGCCTAAGGGCCTTCGGAATTGAAGATTCTGGGCATGGCAAATCATTAGTCATTACAATTATAACCATTTATTATGCAATGTAATCCAATTAGTCATTACAATTATAACCATTCATCATATTGCAATTTTAGAAATCACAAAGCCAAACATAGCAAGGGACCATGAGATTAGATGATCCATTACAGTAAACAAAGATGCCATAATTTGTTCGTCTCTGGTTAGCATTCTTGGGGATTCTGAACCGTACATGCATGACATTGATAGATACAACAGAGGTTATAAAAAAATTCTGAGCGTCCAGTTCGTCTAGTGAGTTAAGAGGCAACTAAATTACAAATGGACTATGCAGGAGATAAACCTAAACTACAGGCAGCAATTGCACTTTGCTTCCATCAACTAAATTACACCAAAATTACATCCTGTATTCTTACGTGTCTTTTATCATCTTTGTTTCTTGTCCAGGCCAGCAGTGTTTTCTGCTATTGTAGCACCTGCCATTTCCATCAATCTCTCGTAGTCTATCTCATCTGACTTGCACTTCAACTTGATCCCTCCTTGCATCCATGACCTGATACAAAGAATCGCCTGTGTGCTATCATGTGGCATACAAAATCGTTGCTTGTAAATTTCATCACCTTTACTGCAAAACAGATCTTCAGGCGCCACTGAGGTTGGCTGCACAGCCAAGAAATCCCGGGCCATCACTGAAAGACGTGGATAGCGCGTGCAGTTGACCTTCCACCACTCCAGGACATCTGTTGGTATTGGAGCGGGAGGCTCTGACAGGTACTGAGTAAGCTCGTCGGTTGCATTGCTCAAGCTCACTCTTCGCTTCTTCCTAGCAATTTCCTCTGCAAAGGAAACACCCCCCCCATCTTCAATCTCTTGAGCACCATACCCACTTGTCATGGATGAAAAATGGCGGCTAGAGTAATTTCTTATGAATAGAGTTCTGGCTTCCTCCAGATAGTTTCCTGAGCTGAGGCTCTCAGGGATGAGCTCACATTTGATTCGGGGATCCAGAATTGCTGTCATGAAGATGAATATGTTGCCAACCTGTGTGGTGTAACTCCTAGACTTTGTTGCCATGTCTTCAGCAGCATTTTTTAGCCAATCTGAGCTGTGACGGGAATCTCTGCATAGGATAATCATCTCAGAGATGTGATCCATGAAGAAGAGAACCAGCCCGATGGTGAGTAACTTGTTTGTGCAAATGTTGTTTGTGGTTTTGTAAAAGGGTTCCAAATATTTATGCACGATACTAACTGCATTCTTTTCTGCAGGGCTCAGCGCCATCCTCCCAGCAATTGTGTCCTCGTACTTTCTCATAACGCCATCCATAGACTTTCCAGCCTGCAATCATAAATAAAACCCTAGTTCATATTTTCTGACTTTATCTCATATTAAAATGTTAGAGATCTGAGATGAAAGAGCAATTACCTTGCACACAATATCAAGCATCTGGTAATTACCACTCCAGCGTGCTGAAGTTTCAAGTGGAAATTTCCAACAGCCTTCCTGATAAGCTGCTGTTAGTTGAATGAAATCCTCTGACATCTTGGCTGATGAATTTAGCTCTAGCACAAACTCCCTGACCTTAGATATTACTGGTTTTGTTGTTCTTAATCCATCTTCTATAATCAAGTTCAAAGTGCGAGCAGCACAAGGAATATAGTAGAACATCCCCAGTTTCTGACCATCTAACTCCTCCTTCAGAGTATGGCACGCATGAATAGCATTCTGACTGTTATCATGGGTGCATGAGAGGACTCTACTCTCTATGTTGTACATCTTGAGAACCTTATCCAGGGAATGATAAATCTCAGAACCACCACAAGGGTAAGGTATTTGACATATGTCAAGAAGGACTTGTTGGAAGGACCAGTTTTCATCAATCCACTGACATGTGACGCTCATATAGAATATTTGCTCATAGGAGCTCCAGAAATCCAGAATAATTGAAACCTTGGACGAAACCTTTTCCAAAGTAGCCATCACATCTTCCTGCATGCTCCTGAAAACTTCACGGATTTTTACTTTGTACCGCTCACCTGGCCAGAGTTGTATTGATGGGTTTAGAAATTTAAATGAGTTTGCCAACCACTTTTCTTCCAAGGTTGAAGGAGGAAGAGAAGCTAAGATGAGCCACTTAACGAGCAACCAATTCAGATGATCATAATCCATCTGTTGTTTTCCCTGTTGTTGAGCTTTCCTGACCACAGTGATGGGCTGTGGTGCTGAACTAGTGACTGAATCTCCGGACTTATCATATCCTGGATGGCGATTACTCAGGTGCCTCCCCAAATTGCCTTCATCAAATAAATTAAGACCATTACATGCACACAGAAATTCTTGTCATGATATCATGCTCAAATTCATCTGAAAATAGAACACAAGAAGGTAAAACAAAGAGCAATTTGGAGACTTCAATTTAGAACATAGCCACATGATTTCAGGATAACAAACTCATAAGGCAGCACAAAGCTCAGGTCAGTAGTTTCAGTGTTGGATCTCAATTTCATTTTAGATACTTACAAGTTTACAGCATGTGAGTAATTGAAGAGAAAAGAAAGGGAAATGGAACTAGCATAGGAGTCCTACCCGTGGCAGTTGCAATAGAATAGCTTTGTCCACAAAACTTGCACCGCCGACTCTTTCCGTCAGGAGCAGTCTCAAAAAATTTAAGATAGACTGAAGTCATTGTCTTCTTTCTTTTTGTTGGAACCACAGTAGTTCCCTTTTCTGAAGATCCCAGCCCAATATCTACTGGATCGACATTTTGGATGAGTGCCAAATCCATCATTGATTTGGGATGATCCATATCTACTCCACAAGCAACAGCTGAGTACAATTAGAGTTACATACACAAGCAATATCCAATCAGTTCCATTCCCAGTTTTCCACATCACAGCACGATTATTGGATTAAAACTTAGTAATCAAGAAATCCATCATTGGAAGTACAAACAAAAAATGAACCCCACGAGACAAAACATTGAGCTTTACAAGTAAAATGCAACAGGATGCGAGAAAAAGAATGAATCCAATCCCATCTGAAGGACCAAACTTAAAATGTGAAAATGGAGTTTACCTTTGTACGTTTTGAACGCATTATTTACAGTCCACTCCATTTGGTTTGCAGCAGCTCTCCCACTCACACTTCCTGTCTGAAACAACCCAATACACACACTAATTAGACGAACACAACAGCCTGCTTGCTACTTACCATACACTATTTATCAACACAGAAAGCCAAAAAACAAAAAAAACAACCAGAAAATAGTGTCTGAAACCCAAAACACAACAAAAGGAGAGATTTTCACCAAAAGAAGAAGAAGAAAGTTTTACAGCTTAACTTGATCCTTCTTTCTTACCCCAAAATCCATCTCTTCCTCTCAAAGAATTCTCCAATTCTAACAAGAAAAATCTGAAACAGAAAAGAAAAGAACCCATAAATTATATATAAATAAAAAATTTCGAAATCAAGAGAGAAAGCAGTGTTTGTTGGGTATAAGTGTAGGGAGAGGAAGTTAGAGTACGTTACTTACCATTAATCACTGGGATTTGGAGGTTTTTTATGGTGAATGAAGAAGAAAAACTTAGAAAGAGACAGGTGTTACGGAGCGGGAGAGGGAGAGAGAGAGTCTAGAGAGAGAAAAATGGAGGGAGGGAGATCAAGAAAGAAAGAAAGGCTGTGGATCTAACTAAGCCGGATCTAAGCCGAGCAAGAAGAGACTGATAGATTTTTTTATTTTTTGTTGAGAGAAGAAAATTTTATTAAGTCATAAAAGGAAGGAGAGAGAGTGCGTGTCTGCGCCTGCGTGTGTGGCTCGGCTGGTGGAAACCTAATGACTGAATGAAGAAGTTTTTTGAAACAACTCGACTGAGTGGCTCGGAGCGAGTGAGAGAGACTCAGGTTCTCTATGTCAGGTTACAAACAGAAGGCTTGACTCTGTCAAGCAGTTTGGAATTTGGAGCCAGCTTTGTCCTTTTTATTTATTTTTGTGTTTTAATTTCCTTGCTTTGAGTATAAACTTAATAATAATAATAATAATAATAATAATAAGGCTGCTGCTTGGTTTAGGAGTTGTTGTCGAGCCCCAAGTGGAGCTTCTCGCTCACTGTGAGCTTGATTTTCACACATTCAAATCCAACGTTCCTTCGACCCATTTATTTGACAACGATTTGCGTGTGTGATTCATTAATTTTTTTTATATAAAAATAATATTTAAATATTAAATAAAAATAAAAAATAATAAAAAATTATTCATTAAAAATTTATAACTATAATAATCAGGATTGAGTTAATTCAAGATATCATGTTAAATTTATAATTTAGTTCATGAAATTCAAATAACCTCATAAAAATAAAAATAATTATAAGATATTTTTTATAAAAAAAAAACTTGTATTAACTTTTCAAATATGCAACTCAAGTTATTAGATTCAAAATATCTAATCTAGAAAAACCATAAAGACTCATTTTCTATCATGCAAATATTAAAAGATAAAATTAAAAAAAATTAATTATACAAAAGAATTAAAAAAAAATAGTAATCAAAATAATGAGAATCAAAATTAAATACAAAATATATTTTAAATTTGATTGAATGATGAAATTAAAAAGAAAAATTAATTTAATAAAAGGAAAAAAATTCAAAAGAATAAGTGTCAAGATTGATATAAAAAACAAAAACAATGTTTTGATTGAAATGTGAAATTAAAAAAAAAATTATAACTTTTACAAAAGAGTAAAGAAAAAAAATTAGAAATCAAAACAATGATGACCAAATTGAAAAACATAATACCATCAATTTAAATTAAATGTTGAAAATGAAAGTCAATAAAACTTCTACAAAAAGATCAAGATAAAAAATTAAAAATCCAAAAATTAAGGATCAAATTGGAGAATATAATATTTGATAAATTGAAATTAAATGATAAAATTAAAAACAAATATACGTCTATAAA